TGGGGTAAATTTCTTCTGTGATTGTCCTTTTTGGTGGAGCAACTGCCTTGATTGACAGTAGCTCCCCCTGGTGTTAAAACTGAGAAGTGCAATACACTCAAGCAAAAGTTGAAGTGCGGCCATATTCTATTCTATTTATAAAGTTACTTGCGGGCCAATTAAAAGGAGTTTGGACACCCCTGCCATACGGGAGCAGCCAGTCACTGACTAACACTGCAAAACAGAATTGTTAAAGTTTTAATTTTAATTTCAATTCAGGTTAGATTTTTTTATTCTGTGCGCAGAGACCGCGCGCAGCTTAGAGGGAAGATTGCTGATGATGACCTCAGAGCAACCGCCCTGTTCACAGCGAGATCAAAGTGGACCTGAGCCTGGACATGTATTTCCACACGGAGCCCTGCTGTAACACACCGTCACAGATTTAACAATTCAAGAAAGGCATGTTTGGCACCATCATAGCTAACTGAGCGGAGGAGACGACAGCGGAGCGTCAGTGTAGCGGGATCACCGTCCCCTGCCGTTCATGAGCGGTCCGTGTCTTTAGCAGAGAGTAGCTCTGTTGTTGGCTGCTCTGAAACAGGACGTTCCTCTTGTTCGCCGTAATGTTCGGGTTTGCAGACACGTCATGATGACTGTTTGAGTCAGGTGACCCGGTGCCATCAGCACTGTGCATCTCATATTTCATGACTTTGGGCGTATTCATCAAATACTGGCTTTTGGGGCATGTTGGATCAAAAGAAATAAATATAACCGCTTTTACCTCGAACCGGAGAAGCCACAGAAATTAAAGTAGCTACGGCACACTGGATCGCCTAGCAACACAATTGTTTTTACACATGTTGGCGTGAAGGCTGCTGTAATAGATAAATATGTAGGGACTGTAACTGGAATTAAAGACTTACTGCGGGGTCGAACATGGATGTTGAGCTGGAGTGAGGGCTGGGCCATATATCGAATATACTTGACTACGATGGTTAAAATGGCGTTATCGTAACCATCGAGTATGGGTTGCCATGGAAATATTACGGTGTCTGCACGTTTTTTCTTCTCCCACACACTGCGAATGCATAATTAATCCCCCCGCCCAACCTGAAAACCTTCTACCTAACACACCGTGCTGAGCGTGCGTGTTTCAATCATACCAGATAGGAAAATATGGCGACGGTGGGAGTTTGAGACTCGCTGTCGATTGGATTTCCCAACGAAGGCGGCAGCACCACGAACCAGCTGAAAAATCACCCACTGCAAAATGACGAGTGTTTAAACCCAGCGTGTGATCGTCTCCACACGCCATGGGACACAAACCTGCTGTGTCGGTTTTATCGTCGCTGTTTGGACTTCTGTCGTGTGAGGTTTTTTATTTGACTGTTTCACATGTTATAAGCACAAAGGACGACCTTTGTAGCCTCAGTTGTTTGTTTTGTTTCGGTTTGTTAAAGTCGAGTGTTGACCGCAGACAGACGTGGTTGTGACAAGCCTGTGTGTGCAGCTGATGGTTCGTAGCGTTTTCAGACGGACAGAATCAGCCCCGCCTCTGATACCCACTGACTCTTCAGCTGTGTCTCATTGGTCAGCGAGTTCTTGATCGCGACTCTTCAGCTGCTCTGAGCGTGTCAGGTGCTTTGATGTTGGTCCACAGCTGGAGCTCACGGAGCTGCCTCCACAGAACAAGCCAGCGGCGGCCCTCGTTTATGAAGGCTGAAGATGAGTCCTTCCACCGTCGCCGTCGTGTTTGCAAAAACATGGACGTGATAAAACCACTCCCTGTAAACTGGTCAGGGACCGCCCACCCGGACGCTGCCTCCATGTTTTTACTGTCTGACAGTCAGACTGACAGAGGACTCTGGGATTGTCCTCGTGTGGACACTTGTGATGCAGGCTAAGCGTCTGAGTGTGAGGAAAACGTTTAATCCATGTTTAGAGGCCCCGCCTACCGTCAAATCCTCACGGTGTGTTTGTGTGTTTGTGTAGTTGCAGTATCACGCTAGCTTGGCCTCCAGTTTGTTGAACCAGCAGTCGCTGAAGCGATCAGCCAATCAGATGGGAGCATCAGCCAAGAGACGGCCCAAAGTCCAACCCAGTACTCTGGTACTGCCTCCACAGTGAGTACTATTGCACAAAATACTACAACAGTGCTACAGTAAACTATTTCACACCTTTATGCAGCGGTTCCCCTGGTTTTCACACTAACACACAGGCACCTGTCACACCTGTCACAGGTATGTGGATGATGTCATCTCTCGCATCGGCAGGCTGTTTCCTGATATGACCATTGAGCTGTTCAGACCCAACGGGACGTCAGCTGTGCTGCTGGTAGTAGAATACACATTTAAACACACTTTGTGCCCACAGGTGTTTTCAGATCAGGTAACAGGTGTCTGTCTCACCTGTCTCCAGGTGACTCTGGGGAAGGTGCTGAAGGCCATCGTTGTGATGCGGTCGCT